AGATACACTGCCACTAGCGCGCCGGCGGTGTGGGGTGAAGGGGAGCCTGGGACCGTTCGTCGGAGAGGACCAGAGACAGAAAGAGATAGGAGAAAGAGAGAGCAGAGAGAGCGAGTGGAGAGAGAGAGAGAAAAGAAGAGAAGAGAAAAAGATGGGAGAGCGAGAAGATAAAATGCTCGCGTCGCCCTCGCTCGCCACACGGATCCTAACTCTCCCGGGTTACAGCGCCGCACGACGTGTAGTCTATCACCAGCGACCATGTGACGGACACTGTTCACATTGCGCAGATGTTGGGTAGAATGTGGCGCTAGTATAGCAGAGTAGCAGCAGGCAGCAGCAGTTAGCAGTAGCAGTAGTCGCTAGTAGCCAGTTCTTCTGTGCCTGTCTTCTCTCTCTGACTCTCTCATCGCGTCGACTAACTCACGCGGCTCTCGCTCCCTCCATCCTCTCTACCTCCGCCGCCCCTGCGGTTCGACCAGGTGTGTAGCAAGTTAGTCTAGGAGGGAGGTGTGGCTTGGTGACGCGTCTTAACATCGTCTGCTTGTAGCGGCGGCGTTCGGCGTGCGGGGACGCTTAGGTTAAGTGTACGTGCGAATTATTAGTCGGCGTGGTGTATATGTGTATGAGTATACGTGTTATATGTGTGTATTGGTATATTATACGTGCTATATGTGTATATGTGTGTAGGTCGCGAATTAAAATTGACTATATGTGTATATGCTGTGTATGTGTAGTATTATACGGTATACGTGTATATGGTGCTGTAGCGTACGAATTATATGGTGTATATGTGGTTGATGTGTATTATTGGGTGGTGGTGTAGTATTGTGTATATGTGTGTAGTGCTATAATTATATGTGTATATGTGCTATATTGTATATTAGACGGGTATATGCTGTATATGTGTAATATTATAACGTATATGTGTATATGTGTAGATATGTGTAGGCTGCGAATTATACGTGTATATGTGTATATGTGTATATTATAAGGTGTATATGTGTATCATGTGTATATATTGTGTATGTGGTATATATACGTGTAGATGTGTATTATGGTGTTATTATAGGTGCTATATATACGATGTATATGCTGTGTATGGTGTAATTATCGTGTATATGTGTATATTATAGTGTATATGTGTTATTATACGTGTGTATGTGTATATGTGTGTAGTGTGAATTATATGTGTATATCGTGTGTATTGTATATGTATATGTGTATATTTATATGTTATATGTGTGTATGTGTATATTTACGGGTATATGTGTATTATGTGTGAGCGGCGAATTATTATTGCTGTATGTTATATGTTGTATTATTATGTGTCTGTATGTGTTGTATTTAAAATGATATGTGTGTATGTGGTAATTATTATATGTGTATGTGTATGTGTGTGTGTTTATGTGTGTACGTATTATACTTTGTGTATGTGTCGTGGGTGTGTGGCGCGGGGCCGTGTGGTGTGTATGTATGTGTGTGTGATGTGTGTGTGTGTTGTGGTGGTGTGTGTAGTGTGTGCGTGTGTGTGTGTATGTGTTAGTATTTACGTGTATATGTGTGTATTGATGTGTTGTTGTTTATTATGGTTTCGATCATTACACATTTACAGTATTATTATCATTATTGTTAGCGTGGGGCGGTGAATTTATATTTCGTCGTTGAGCAGAATAGGAACCGCGCCGGGGCCGCGTGTCGTGTAATTGATATGTAGCTACAGCGTTTGTACGATATGCATGAATAATATGCGATCGTATGTGAGTAAAACTACACTGGGGGGTGCGCCCGTGCGTGCGTTTGTGGGTGTGTTCTCTTTCGCCGGGGCGCATTGCGGTGCGTGGCGGGTGCATGTGTGCGGGTTCGCGGCGTGCGGCGTACGTGTTCGGTACATGTCGTGCTGGGTCGCGCGTGCGGTGCGTGCCGCGGCTGCCGTGGGCGTGCGTAATCTGTGCGTGATTGCACGTGCAGTGGCGCTGGTGTGCGTGCGTGCCGTGCGTGCGCTGCGTGCGCGTGCCGTGTCTGCGTGCTGGCGGCGTTGCGCGTGGTGCGTGCATGCGTGTACACCTCATTCGCATCATCATCGATTGCAGGCCTACGCCTAGAAGGTAGATATACGTTGCGTTGTTATCACGTCTATCATTCAAGCGATGGATGGCGACGAAAATCAAAGACATGGCAGGCACGTAGTGAGAATGGCGAAACCGCCTGACCCGTGCCACATGCGGCCGTCATTGTGACCCACGAGGATCACTTATATAGTACGCAGCGGCGCGGGTGGGGCGGGGCGCGGGCGGGGCGGGGCGGGGCGGGCGGGGCGCCGCAGGGGCGGCGTGCGTGGGCGGTGAGCGTGGCGGCGGGACGGGGAGCTCGTGGTGAGCGGTGGCGGGAGCGGGGAGTGTGGAATTTTTGTGAGCGGGGGGGAGGCGGCTTCCCATCTGCCACGTGCTTTTCATGAGCGTGCGCGAGCCGGGTTTTTGTTGGCTGCCGCGGAGGTGGGGCGGAAATGTGCTGGGAATGGGATGAGCGAGCGTGGGCGTTGAGACGGAGCGGCGACGAGCGGGAGGCGTGGGGTGCGTACGGAGGATGGGGGTTGAAGAGAGCGCGGAAACGGAGGTGGGTGGGGGTAGGGGCGTTATGACCCATGGGGGGTGAGAATGTTGAAGCATGGGTTACTGGCTGGAATTCCTAGTTACAAAGGTAAGAGAATGCGCCACTTCCGATCAAGTTACCCTATTGAATTAGGCTCCGTTTCACGGGCCTGCTTCCCCGCCCGTCAATTCTATTCACGGATTCGTGACAATTCTGGAGTCCGGGGCGGGGGGATATTCCACCCACCGCCGATCCTCGGGTAAACATCTAACTCGCGTTCAACCCGCGTCCCGACAATAACCACCTTCTGTTACATTAGGTCTGGACGCCGTTGATTGCGGTGTGGCAATAGCCCGCGCAACTAGGGCGGCGAGCGGAGGTGACTGTGATTGCCGTGTGTCGCGACGTCAGTGTTGATGTGCGGGGGCGGCAACACCATCAGCTCTGTCTACCGTATACACAGGCGTGAGTACAGTCACGCGTTAGCAGTTATTGTCATCGATCATTTCATCATCATCATTATCATCATCCATCACTCCCACCAGTCATCATCATCATTATTATTATTATTATCCAAAGTGGAACACCGGCATTCAGCCGTGGGCCTTCTGTGGGTCGGCTCGTTGTCCGCAACCTGAGGCACATAGGGATTCTGGTCCAGAATTTTTCGCAGGCATGTGTTGCTGATCCAGTAGTGCGATTTCTGCACTTCTTGCGGCAGTGTGGGTAGCCAGGGAGTGCTTTAAGGTTCTCTGGCTGTGAGACGCATTCTTTAATATAGCACAGGCCCGCTCCAACCCACACTGGTACAATTCTCGTATATTAGTATTTCACATACTCCTAATTATCGATTCCACATCTTTGTATTTGGTGAGTGTGTCTCTTTCGCTATCACCGATGTAATTAGAATCATCTTGGTACGGCTACTCGAATCACGAGCATCGCTTTTCTTTGCTGTGCTGGAGACTATATCAGGGCGTTTTGCAGGTTCGTTGCGATCTGGCGCACTGCCAGTATCCCACATATGTTAGTATCTCTTGATGTTGGTAACTGGGCCTCGAGTAGGTTCATACACTTTGTCAGGGTACTTCTCACCAAGCTTCAGTCGCAGGATTGACCACGTGCAGATAGCCTGCTACCTTGTTGCTGGCGATTTTGTACTCGGTGTGCGGCGCCAGCACTGTGCATCCGGTGATGGATGTGGCTTGATGGCTCTCCTCTGCACCCTTGCCTGCCATTCTGCACTTGCTGTTGACTGTTCTTGAGATGTTTGCGTTGATAGTATCCTGTGTGAGTGCTTGGTCTTGCCCGCTGCAATTGGGCTTAGTCGGCCTAGACTTCAATGCAGTGTTTTACGCAGACATCAGTTCAATGAAACACGACTTACCATTTGCCTCTTGATGTACAGTCGCGTACATCTGCTTTTGGCGTGATGGAGACCGGTGCATGGTTAGTAGGCTTTCTTGTCTTTGCCGATCCATCCTTCTCGATATCTGATCGCAGGCAGTGGATCACCCGCAAGCTGTACACGGGGACTGGAGGAGTGCCAGGCTATTGATCGCTGTTATCTTGTTTTTTGAGCAGAGCTCAGACTTGAGAACAAAGCGAACTCGGCGATAGTACTCCTTAGCAATGTTCTCCTTTATCTTTGCATGCTGAATACTATCACTTTCGTCTACACCAAGATATTTGTAGGTGTACTCGTGGTTCAGACTTTGTAGGGCTGTCTTGTCAGTAAACTCGATATTTCGACTTGTTACTAGCTTACCGCATTTTAAGATTGCAGTTGCACACTTTCCTAAGCCGAACTCCATTTTGATGTCATCACTGAATGCTTTGACTGTTACCAAGGCCTGTTCCAACTCATATTCGTTTTTGGTGAACAGTTTAAGGAAAGCCATGTAGAGCAGGTAGCTGATGGTGTTGTGTTTATCGACTGAAAATCCAGGACCCTGTCTATTCAGCATGTTGGTAAGCGGTGTTAGTGCTAAGCAGAATAGCAGGGGAGAGAGCGAGTCACACTGAAAGATTCCTCTCTTGATTGAGATATCTTCTGTCCTGAGGCAGCCTCCTTGAGTGAAGAGGGGCATTTCAGTCTTCCATTTCTTCATTGTAGCTTCCATGAACTGAATGATGGTTGGTGACACATGGTAGATTTTTATGGCTGCGAGAATCCAGGAATGTGGGACACTGTCGAAGGCTTTCTTATAATCAATCCACGCCATTCCTAGGTTCCTCTTGAGCTTTTTTGTCATGCTCACAATCATGTTACTGATGAGATGTTGGTCTTTGCACCCTCTAGACGCTCTTCTACAGCCTTTCTGCTCATCTGTGAGAATGTCGCTCTTCTGTAAGTGAATGTAGAGGTGGTTGCTGATTGCAGCAGTGAGAATTTTGTAGGTGGTAGGCAGTCAAGTAATTGGTCGATAGTTCTTTGGTTCTTTTGTATCCTTGCCTTTTGAAATAAAGAAAGTGGTTCCGGATGTCAACCACTTAGGGCTATTGCTTGGATCCTTGATGGTGTCATTCAAGGCCCTGGTTAGTTGTTTATGGAGGGCACTTAAATGCTTAATCCAGAAGTTGTGCAGCTTGTCTGGGCCAGGAGACTTCCAGTTGTGGGTCCGCTTGATGGCCTGCTGTACCTCACCCATTGTAATGTCAGTCCATACATCCATTGCTACATTCTGGAATGCTTCCTCCTCTTGTTTGATCCAAGTGGCTTTGGTATTGTGGTCTGTGCTAACTTCCAGTATTCCACGCCAGAATTGATCAAGTCGCTCTTGAGAGGGAGGTTCATTGATGGTGCTTTGCTGCTCGTTGAGATGCCAGTAGAATTTTTTGGCATCTTTATGGAAGAGCTTATTCTGATAGTAGTGCTCACTCTGCTTAGTAAACCTTCTCAGCCTCTGAGCTTTGGCCTGTAGTTTCATCTTTCTTTCTTGTTCGAGCTCGCATATGGTCTTATTCTCCCTTCGGCTCTTGCATAAGATGCTCCTGGCCTTGGCATGTACTTGCTTTGTTGTGACACTTTTTATTTCGCTAAGGATGAAGAGGCCCTTGCGATGGTTTTCAATTTTTGTTCTGATTTTCTTCTTCCATGTTGGTTCCTCTGTGGGCTTCGTGACTCTCTCTTTTGTTTCTCCAGCAATAACAGCAGCAGTCGCGTACATTAATTCATTGATTTTTGATAAGTTTAGATGGTTATTTTTGATGATATTGGTGAGGGCCTGATTTGCAGCTTGAATATCGTGCCGTATTGCCTAGTTGAGATGAATCTTTTTCAGGCTTCTGCGTTGATCCAGGGGATTGCCTGAGTTTCAAGCATCTTAGTAGAGATTCGATCTTCCATATCCACTACTGATTCACCTTCATGGGTATCCGTATGCTGCGGTGTTTGTTCAGCCTCGGGCTCTGGGGGGATGTAGGTCTTCAGGTTGTTCAGTGGGGATAAGTGTTGGTTGCGATGCATTATTTTGCTTTCGGACAGCTGCCACTATCTGCTCAAGTTTAGTGTCGGTGAGCTTCTTGTTCTTAAGAATCCATCTCCTGGTATTAGCAAGAGTATTTGAGTTGGTGGCTGAAAAGACGTTTGGATTCCTGCCTCGCCAGATCGTGTATGTACCTTTTACGACCCCGCCATCAGTGTTGTTTTCTTGGGCGAAATAATAGGACCACATCACATCCTTGTATTGATACTTTGTCCACTGGTTTCTTGTTTTTCTGTTGGTTATTTCTGCGTTGGTGGACTGTGCCTGCGGTGTTGGTGCTGCTTTAGTTAAGCCAACTTGAGATTGGATCTCGGTGTGGTTGCTATCTGAAGCTTGGCTGTTAAGGTTTGCCGACTCAATAACCGATTTTTCGACCTCAGCTTGTTCGGCGATCACGGAGGGACGCGCTCCTTGTTGACCCGCGCGACGAGCGATGCGATATGACTTTCGTATTGGGGTATTCATCATGGTATGATATTTACTATTTAACCCATAGTTAGGGCAAACTTTTCTGGACACCAGGGCACGTCCATCCGTCCGTGGGCAGTAATGTCGCAGTTATCGGGAGTTTGCTCCTCAAGATCGAGAGCGGTATTTTTATCGAGACACCATCTCTATGGGGTTGCCGTTCAAGGCTAAAGAGTTCCTCCTACCCATGAGACAGACTTGCCCCCATCGGACGCCAATCCGATACGTCAAGGTCTCGGGGAGAGCTAACAGGTACTACACCGTGCTCAAGGGTGACCTGGAGGTAGTTGTGGCAAAGGGTATCCTCATTCTCCCACGTTGAGACTCCACAACCGGATGCAGTAGAAAGTCATACCCAGGACATTTATTATTATTATTATTATTATTATTGAGACATAAGGATTCAATCCAGAATCTTTCGCAGGATGTGTGCTGTTCCCAGTAGTGCGATTTTCTGCACTTCTTGGGAGGTGGTGGCCAGGGAGTTTCTTAAGGTTCTTCTGAAAACCATTCTTTATAGAACCAAGGGCTTCAACCACCACTGGTACAATTCTCGTCTTAGTATTGCACAATCATCCTCCTAATTTCGATCTCCAGATCTTTGTACTTGGTGAGTTTGTCTCTTTCCTTCACCATGATGTTAGCATCATCTGGTACGGCTACATCAATCAACAGACATTGTTTTTCTTTCCTGTTGTAGAGCACTATATCAGGGCGGTTTGCAGGTATCGTGCGATCTGTCCGCACTGCCATATTCCACATTATGTTAGTATCTCCGATGTTGGTAACTGGTCTCGGAGTATGTTCATACCACTTGCAGGTACTTGCTCACCAAGTTTACTGCAGATTGACCAGTGCAGATAGCTGGCTACCTTGTTATGGCGATTTATGTACTCGGTTGGGGCCAGCACTGTGCATCCGGCGATGATGTGGCTGATGGTCTCCTCTGCATTGCTGAACATTCTGCAATTGCTGTTGACCTGTTGCTTGAGGTGTTGCGTTGATGGTATCTGGTGTTGAGTGCTTGGTCTTGGGCTGCAATTGGGTAGTCGCCTAGACCTACAATGGCAGTGTTGTACGCAGACATAAGTTCAATGAGACCACGACCACCATTTTGCCTTTTGATGTACAGTCGCTCTACATCTGCTTTTGGGTGATGGAGACCGTGCATGGTTAGTAGCTTTCTTGTCTTGCGATTCATCCTTTCAATATCTGATCGCAACCAGTTGAATACCCCGAAGCTGTACACGGGGACCAGGAGTGCCAGGCTATTGATCGCTGTTATCTTGTTTTTTGAGCAGAGCTCAGACTTGAGAACAAAGCGAACTCGGCGATAGTACTCCTTAGCAATGTTCTCCTTTATCTTTGCATGCTGAATACTATCACTTTCGTCTACACCAAGATATTTGTAGGTGTACTCGTGGTTCAGACTTTGTAGGGCTGTCTTGTCAGTAAACTCGATATTTCGACTTGTTACTAGCTTACCGCATTTTAAGATTGCAGTTGCACACTTTCCTAAGCCGAACTCCATTTTGATGTCATCACTGAATGCTTTGACTGTTACCAAGGCCTGTTCCAACTCATATTCGTTTTTGGTGAACAGTTTAAGGAAAGCCATGTAGAGCAGGTAGCTGATGGTGTTGTGTTTATCGACTGAAAATCCAGGACCCTGTCTATTCAGCATGTTGGTAAGCGGTGTTAGTGCTAAGCAGAATAGCAGGGGAGAGAGCGAGTCACACTGAAAGATTCCTCTCTTGATTGAGATATCTTCTGTCCTGAGGCAGCCTCCTTGAGTGAAGAGGGGCATTTCAGTCTTCCATTTCTTCATTGTAGCTTCCATGAACTGAATGATGGTTGGTGACACATGGTAGATTTTTATGGCTGCGAGAATCCAGGAATGTGGGACACTGTCGAAGGCTTTCTTATAATCAATCCACGCCATTCCTAGGTTCCTCTTGAGCTTTTTTGTCATGCTCACAATCATGTTACTGATGAGATGTTGGTCTTTGCACCCTCTAGACGCTCTTCTACAGCCTTTCTGCTCATCTGTGAGAATGTCGCTCTTCTGTAAGTGAATGTAGAGGTGGTTGCTGATTGCAGCAGTGAGAATTTTGTAGGTGGTAGGCAGTCAAGTAATTGGTCGATAGTTCTTTGGTTCTTTTGTATCCTTGCCTTTTGAAATAAAGAAAGTGGTTCCGGATGTCAACCACTTAGGGCTATTGCTTGGATCCTTGATGGTGTCATTCAAGGCCCTGGTTAGTTGTTTATGGAGGGCACTTAAATGCTTAATCCAGAAGTTGTGCAGCTTGTCTGGGCCAGGAGACTTCCAGTTGTGGGTCCGCTTGATGGCCTGCTGTACCTCACCCATTGTAATGTCAGTGCCATTACATCCATTGCTTATATCATTCTGAGAATGCTTTCTTCCTCTTGTTTGGATTCAAGTGGCCTTGGCGGTTATTGTGGTCTTGTCTATTACTTCCAGTTACTTCCGACGCCCAGAACTTGATCAAGTCGCTCTTGAGATGGTACGGTTCATTGATGGTGCTTTCTGCCTCGTTGAGATTGCCAGTAGATCATTTTTGGCTCTTTATGGTCAATGAGCTTTATTTCTGATAGTAGTGCTCACTTCTGTTAGTAAACCTTCTCAGCTCTGGAGCTTTTGTCCTGTAGTTTCATTCTTCTTCTTCTTGCTTCTGATAGGCTTCGCAGTATGCGTCCTTATCTCCCTTCGGCTGCTTGCATAAGATGCTCCTGCTCTTGGCATGGTACTTGCTCTTTGTTGTTGACACTTTTATTTCGTCTAGAGGATGAGGGGCCCTTGCGATGGTATTTTCAATTTCTGTTTCTGATTCCATTTTTTTCCATGTTTGGTTCCTTGTGGGCTTCGGCTGACTCTCTCTTTTTGTTTCTCCAGCAATAATCAGCAGCGAGTCGCGTTACATTTAATTCTACGGTTGATTTTTGATCGAATTTAGGATGGTTTTTTTGGATTTGATGATTCATCTGTGTGACCTGGGCCTGATTTGCAGCTTGAATATCGTTGCTCTATTTCTGCCTAGTGATGAGATGAATCTTTTTCAGGCTTTCCTGCGTTGATTCCAGGGATTGCCTGAGTTTCAAGCGTCATCTTAGTAGAGTTTCCGATCTTTCCATATCCACTACTGGATTCACCTTCATGCGGTATCCGTATGCTGCGTGGCGTGTTTGTTCAGCCTCGTCGGGCTCGGGGAGATTGACGGTCTTCAGGTTGTTCAGTGGGATAAGTGTTGGTTGCGATGGCAGTTATTTTGCCTTTCGCGTACAGCTGCCCACGTTATTGCCTCAATAGTTTAGTGTCGGTGAGCTCTGTCTTAAGAATCCATCTTCTGTGGTATTAGCGCAAGAGATTTGATTGTTTGGTGTGGCTGAAGAAGCGAGTTGGATTCCTGCCTCGCCAGATTCGTGTATCTGTACCTTTTACGACCCCGCCATCTAAGTGTTGTTTTCTTGGTGCGAAATAATATGGCCAGATCACAGCCCTCTTTCGGATATGTATTGATTACTCCTTGTCCACTGGTTTCTTGTCTTTTCCTGTTGGTTATTCTTGCGTTGGGTGGACTGTGCCGGCCGGTCTGTTGCGTGCCTGCTTAGTTAAGCCAACTTGACGAGTTGGATCTGGTGTGGTTGCTAGCTGAAGCTTGGCTGTTAAGGTTCTGGCGACTCAATAATACCCGAATTTCGACTCTTCAGCTTGGTTCGGCGTATCACCTGAGGACGCGCTCCTTGTTGACCTGCGCGACGAGCGATGCGATATGACTTTCGTATTGGGTATTCATCATTGGCTATGATTTTACTATTAACCTATAGGTTTCAGGGCAAACTTTCTGCGACACCAGGGCACGTCCATCGTCCCGTGGGACCAGTAATGTCGCAGTTATCGGGAGTTTCTGACTCGCTCAAGATCGAGATGCGTATTTTATCGAGACACCATCTCTTGTCGGTTGCCGTTCAGGCTACAAGAGTTCTTCCTACCCATGAGACAGACTTGCCCCCATTCGGACGCCAATCCGATACTCAAGGTCTCGGGTGAGAGCTAAACAGGTTACTACACCGTGCTCAAGGTGACCTGGCAGGTAGTTGTGGCAAAGGGTATTCTAATTCTCCCACGTTGAGGACTGCCACAACGGATCGCAGTATAAAGTTCGATTACCAGGACATTCTTATATTGATTATTATTATAATTATTATTATTATAATTATTGATTATTATAATTCATTATTATTATTATTATTATTATTATTGATATCATTGTTTTTTATCATTATTATTATCGTTAGTGTTTTTAGGACAGCGACGTTCGTTTCTTTTTTACTGCGCATGCGTTGCAGACGACTTCAATCAGATGAGATTCCACGACAGCCGTCAACCCGCCGGTGACGTACTGTCACCTGACGTCAGCGCAAGCCCGGTAGGTGGCGCCACCACGGTGATAGAGTGTGGAGTCTACTGCCTGGTGTCTCCACCGTGTTTCGGCTTCGTGTGGATCGAAGGAAGAGGGGGAGGAGCAGGAGGAGGAAGAAAAGGAGGATGCGAGCTTATCACCTCGATGAGGCTTGGTGAATACACAATTCCCGATGGAGGAAAATACTATAGAGTGTAACAGCGACCACGTCAGGTGATAAATTAATTACTTGGCATTTATACGCGTATATTGCGACATTTATTTCTAATTCTTTCATAAATTTTTATCTGAGTAAGGAGCAGAGTAGATTAGATATCTCTACTCCATGCACTCCTGATAAAAGAAATACTGATGCATTAAAATAACCGATTTTTCGTTGTTTGTGTGATTGAGTGATGAATTGAGGAAATGTCATCACTGATGTACTTTTATATTTTTCTTGGTGAAAGGATCATGTATTCGGGCCGTAGCTAGTGTGTGGGGGGAGGGCAAGGGGCGATTCCCTCCAGAAAAATTATATATAATACATGATCAATAGCGGTCAGCTTCCCAGAACACACCATGCACGTGGCTTTGCACCCCCCCCCAAGCAAAATGGGTTAGCTACGCTCCTGGTATCTTTACTGCTATTCATTCGCTCTTAGCATTTTGAGCAGAACTATAATGAGCTATTGTAGTGTATAAATGTTTGGCGTGTGTTAGTCATATTTATTTATACTGTATTTAGTCATAATTCTATGGATGAAGGGGAGGCAATGCCGCGCACTGTTTATATTCTAGGCAGTCGACCGTCCGTTGCTCACTGCGTTGACTATTTTCAATGTAATATCTTCAACATTTATCTACATTGCACCGCCAGTGCCGCTATAACTACCAGCTAGAACTTTGGTACACTTAGTATTAAATATTTGTCATAAAATTATTGCGTGTCAATCGACTTTCGTGTTTGTATACCTAGTGTTTTGTGTGAAAAATAAATCAACACAACCGCAAGCAATTTGCCTTCGTCATATCTTCTTTATTGCAGTTGTTGTTACTTATTAACTAAGTCTGTATGTTGTTAAAAGATAGCTATATTATTACAATTAAAAGTTTCCAGTTAAATATGTTAACAGTTTAACGATATCAGCTTATGAGAAGTATAATTGAAGAAAATCCAGTATTTGCATTAAAACAGCAATTCCTCAGAATGCTTACATGATATAAAAAATATGTTCATTGTAGATAGCATATGAAACCGTCGAGAAATATGCTTTTTTTTTGTAGTCAAAGAGTTTGTAGAAAAAGAAAAGAAAGTTATGACGTTAAGCTGCTTTCGTGAATTTCGTTTCTGTGTGAAGTCCTCCTTCACCAACATGCTGCCACGTGGCGCCATCTGTATGCAACCAAACTCTACTTTTTCATTGAATATAATATTGTACACTTTATTCGTGTGCACATGCGGACATATATATATATATATAATATATGTAGATAGATAGATAGATAGATAGATAGATAGATAGATATGAGTATAGATGAGATAGATAGATAGTATAGATTAGATAGATAGATTACGATAGAGTAGCATAGATAGATAGATAGCATAGATAGAGTAGAGTAGCACTAGATAGCATAGATAGAGTTAGAGATAGGATAGATAGTATAGAGTAGCATAGAGTAAAGAGATTAGACTAGATAGATAGATACGATAGATATATAGATAGATAGCATAGATAGATAGATAGATTAGATACAATCAGATAGATAGAAATAGATAGATAGATAGATAGATAGATAGATAGATAGATAGATAGATGAGATACGATAGATAGAATAGATAGATAGATAGTAGATAGAATAGATAGATAGCATAGCATAGATAAGACTAGATAGATAGTATAGTAGATAGATATATAGATAGATAGATAAGATAGCATGATAGATAGATAGACTAGATAGATAAGATAGATAGATAGATAGAGTAATAGAATAGATAGATAGAGGAGATAAGATAGAATAGATAGATAATGAGATAGATAGATAGGATAGATAGCATAGATAGACTCCAAGCAACTCCCTATTATCCAACCCACAAAACCATATCACATATCACCGATCGCGTGGGGGAAAAAAACAATGGAAGTGCGCGGCCACACACACACGCACCACGCACGCACGACGCGCACACACACACACACGGCACGCACGCGCACACACACAACACACATCACAGCACACACGCACAAGCGACACACACACCAACACACACACACATAACACACAACACATACCACCACACACGCACACCACACACACAGCGACCAGCACACGTACACCACACACGTACACACACACGACAACAACACACACACACAGCACACACGACACACACACACACACACACACAACACACACACACGTACTCACACACACCACACACACACACACACACACACACACACAACCCACACACACACACACACTTAATACACACCACATACACACCACACACACGACACACACACACACACACACACACACACACACCACACACACACAC